AACATTAATTCTGTTATGAAAATCTTTATCAAATCTTAAGGTATAGTAGGAGAGTAAATAATAAACAATTATAAACTTGTTTTTTTTTTCTCTTTATTCATTGGAGCTCATTGTATTTTCTTGCATCACTTCATGATCTTATTAGGTGCATTTCTTGTAAATATTATCAACATGTTTGTCTAAGCTTCACTTTTGGAATTACAAAATAATAATTCTTTTAAGTAATTTTGCTTCCCCGTAATGTATAATTCTCTTTACTATCATACTAATAGTGATTTAAGTTTCCATGTCATGTTGCACTAATCTGGAGCCATTTATCACATGGTCTGAAGTTGCATATTTAATCTTACCCATTTTATATTTCACCTTTTATGAATGCACTCTTGTATTGTCAAATAGTAATTTATGAATTTTTATGAAGTTTTGATCAATCAATCTGAACAGGTTCTCACACCAATTTTGTGTTTTTATATTAAATTTGTTTTGTTTTGATGCTTCAATGTTTAAGTTTAGTCATTCATACTTTTTTATTTGAATTTATAGGATTAAAGATTTGATATGATTCTAATAATGACAAAAATTTGGTTTAATGAATTTTGAACAATTCTTATTTATGTTAATATCTCCTTTATGGTATTATTGAGATTGAAATACTATGACAAATAATTTTAAAAAAATTGCATGTCTAAGAATAACATTATGATTTATTCATATTTCTATTGCATATTGAATGATGATAGGAGACTATATAGAATCATCTAATTGAAATTCACCGTGAGGTGAGAAAATGTATGAGAATAAGGTTCATTATAAAAATGAGTCTCAATTTGTAGACATTGACAGTTTTATTTTGTGCATTTATGACAATTATATTCATATAATAGTATTTTGATCAGTTTATATTTTATCTTGGAATTCATAGTGATCATTTTGTTGTAAGACTAAATAATTTTTTAGAAAGAAAAACTTTTCATGTTAATTTTGGTTTTATCTTAGTTTTTTAGTTGAATAAGTAAACAATTTTTTTAATCATTTAATTATGTAATCAAATAAAATATGTTATAAAATATTTTTTTTGTTAATTTCATATATATATATATAATTATTTTAAATTTATACAAAATTTCATGCAAATCTTCTTGAAAAAAAATATTTTACAAGAAATTATTTGTGAATTTAAAATTGACAAGAAATTTCCTGCAAAACTAAAATTAACAAGAAAGTATTTATAAAATTGAAATTACCTACAAATTTAAAATTGGTAAAACATTAAACTCGGTAAGAAATTACATACAAGCATGGTTATCAAACTTGCGAATTAACTCGCTGACTCGTACGAGTTAACGAGTCAAATAACGGGGGTACGAGTTAACTCGTGAGTAGACTCGCTTTATAGTAGATTTTTAGTCAAAGTCGGTGAACTCTGAGTAAAGTTGCGAGTTAGAGGCAAGTTAGTGAGTTTGAAGGAAAAGAAAAACTTGGATTTTGTTTTACTCTCCTCATTTTTTCTCACAAGTTTAGATCTCGCTCATTCCTATTGTTTGTCGTTGCTTATCGTCATCGGTGATCGTCGTCGTGTGCTTGCCCTTGGTCGCGCGGTGGTCACACGACGCTAACTTGGGTTGCACGGTGGTTACACGACGCTAACTTAGGTCGCACGGTGGTCATACGACGTTCGCTTAGGTCGTGTAGTGGTTACGTGATGGTCGCGGGATGTTCACCTGGATCGATCGCACGATGGTTGCGCTCCTTGCAGTTACTCGCCATTGCTCACCGTCCTCTAGGTTAGATTGAGGAATGAAGGGATTTGAGATTTTAGGATTTTCGATTAGATGAGACAGGTTAGATTGAGGGATTGAAAGATTTGAAATTTTAGGGTTTCAAATAGATAGAGATATTTTAGACATTCATGATTTTTTTTATTTTGATTATACTCGTTATACAAATTCAATTATTTTTTATTATTTTAATAATGAGGAATTAATATTATTATATTTATTATTAAATTGGTATTTTTCATATGAAATTAACTCTTATGAGTCTACGAGTTAAGTTTACTAACCTCTTACGAGTCCGATAACCTTGCATACAAGTAATCAAATATATTTATTTTGTAAGCTTTTACGGTATTAATATATATTTAAGAGAACTTATATAAAATAATCTCTCAATTTATTTCAAATATTCCATGTAGAAATATAGGTAGGTACATAAGTTAAATATAAGTAGGTACACAAATTTTTTTAACTCAAAATTAAACATTAGTGTAAATTATAGTGAGCTGTGTATATGATAAGGTAAAGTAAAGATGACAAAATAGGACGGTGGATAGAATTGTATATTTCTCTTGGAAATTTAAACTTTACATAGTGTATTATCAAAAGACTTTGTTTATACTTCATGAAAATTTCAAACACTAGGAAACAATGGATTCCAATGTGACGAAGGAGGAAAACAAATGACACATTAGACAAAATTTAAAATTAATTTATTATACTATAATATTTTATTTTAAAAGTATTTTCAATAAAATATTAAGTAAATAATAATGTAAGAACACTAACTTGTTTATTATATTAATAAAAAATCTATCATCACAAATAATTTCATCACTTTATTTACACTTCTTATATAAAATATAGCGAAACATGCATAAATATTATATTTTATTAAATTTGATAAATTTAAAGAAATTAATAAAAAAGTAATTAAAAAATCAAACAAATAAAATTTTATTTTTTTAAATATTTGTCTAATATTTTCTATGAAATTGATTTTAAAAGTAAAAATAAATAAATATGGACTTCAAAGATTAATAAAAATTATACTAATTTTTTTAATATAAATATAATAAGCATCCAAATTAAATTTGATCATATCTAATTTCAAAAAATAGAAATTTAAATATGATAAATATAATATAAGAAATATAATATTTTTAGTTAGGTTGCATTATCTTGCGAAGGCTCAATACTACATTATATTATTTAATTAAATAACTTGATTTTTTAATAATTTTTAACATTATTTTTAAATTTAAAAATAATTACAGCATATTTAATCATATACTTTTAATTTATTATATAAAAAAATATAAAAAAAATATTGTAATATTTTTTGAAAAAATTTCAACAAAATAAAAGTAAATTATAAATTATAAATATGTTTATAAAATATTATAATTTAATTTTTAACTTTATATAAATAATTTCATTTTCAATTTTATATTTATTTTTACTAAAATTATGTAAGAGATATTTTGACTATTTATTAATTTATCCTATTATTTTTTTAATTAATTTTATTAATTATAATATTTTACTCCTTCTTTTTCACCTTTTTACTTTATTTTTATCTATTCAAATAATTTTATTTTATTTTTTTTCACTTCCTCAATTTCATTTCTCAATCAAAATTATGATAAGTTTAAATTATTTATAAGATCGATTAAATTTTGTAATTTCTAATAAACTTTGCCTACATAAACATAATAAGTATGTCACTTATTTAAGCGCTTTTATTGTAATTTTTAATTGTCATCTTGATGAATTGTTAAACATTATTTTTTTTTAGTTATATTAGTGAACTTTTAATAATTTCATTGAAATATTTATTACATAATAAATGTTTAAAAATGAATAAAAGTAGCTATAGTAACCTCCAAACATCATTAATTGATGCTTGTCTGTCAAAGTTTGGAATCAATACGTTTTCTTTTATATAAATAGTGTTTTGTTTGATAGTGCTCAATTACTACATAACTTTTGAAATTTTAAATAAATAAATAATTAATGAAGGATAATATTATTATTAAAATAATAAATGATGCTAGTTAAAGAATTCTTTTTTCATAACAATTTAATTATCTTTGAATATAAACAAATATACGTTAAAAAAATACATATTAAATATTATTTTTAATAATTATTCAATATGAACATTAAAAAAATATATTTAGAAGAAAAAAATTTATCATACATGATTAATTTAAGAATTGAGATTAAAAATAATTTATATATATATCTTAAAATGATAATAAATTTTAATGATTCTATTATAATTAATTAATATAAGATTGAAACACTATGATTATTTCTCTTTAAATAACAAAATTAATTAAAAATGATTACATAAAGAAAAAAATGGAAGAATGAAAAGTTGAGAGACAAATAATTGAAAGATTATTTTCTCTCACTTCTTAATTTTTCTAATATAAGATAAACTTCACTTTATTTCTATTATTATATTAGAAGTAAAAAAAGACATTTATAACTTCTTCTTTTTTACTCAACAAAATAAAGTATTAAAGAACAAGCTTGAATCCTCTACATTTTATAAATTAATTTAATTATCTATGTTTTCTTTTTACTAGAATTAAATAATATTATAATAGTATTAGTATATATATATATATATATAACAAATATTTAAACCATAACTACAGTTATAAATATTTTTAATAAGTTTTAAATAATTTATTAGTATGTCATTAATATTATTACCAGATAAGTATTTTATATTATTTATTTAATGTTTCATGTTCAATGAATATAATACATTTTAATTATTAATATATTAAACATTTTACCTGTTTAATTAGTATATATATTTGATTTAAAAAACCCATTAATTCACAATAAGAAATTGTGTTCATCACATACTAATAAACTCAAAATTTGAATGAGGAATCAAAATTAAAATATATCACCAAGAAAATTAAAAACAACTTGAGAAAAAGTATATTACAGCATTAACAAGTATTAAAAGAAGAGCCTTAAAAAAAAAACTAGAGTTAAAGGTACACAGTTTTTTTAATTAATCCTATTATTATTATTATTATTTTGTTTATACTTCAGTTACATTTCTATGTATTCTCCACACACTTGTCAAACACAATTAACATGCAACCTTAACCAGTTTTATAAAGTTGGTTCTTTTATTACATCAGAGTCATTACTTCTTCTTCCTTCATCTCTCTCTTTCATCACTTATCAGTGTGAATGGGTCCAATTTCCACAGAAGAGCTTCACCTGTTTCACAAAACTCACCGTGAGGTCTTCTGTCTCCTCATCTTTAGACTGCATCGTGACCTCACACAATCCCTTCTGGTCATGGCCTTGTGGATTTGGCTAGAACACAATGGATATCCCAATATCACCCACAAAATTATGGGTTTACCACATGCTTCGGTCAGTGATCTTGTTGATGAAGTAGTATCTTGTTTAAAATGCTTAGAGAGAGAAAACTTTGCCACCCCAAATAATGGTGGCTTGCCCTTAACACAGAATCTAACACAAAAGGGCATATCTCTAAGAATGTTTAAGGAGAAAAGGTACACCATAATTGCTGGTATCAAAAGTGTTCTGAAAAATATTTGTGCTCGAATTTTTGCTGATGTTGTGCAGATATTCATAAGAAGCAGGAACATCAACAGAGTTGGCTCATCACGAGGTAACATGTCAAATATGCCTCTAACTATCCCAGGTTTTCCGCACCCTTTGTTTGGTACCTTCGATATTGCACCAGACACTTCTTCTATGAACCTTGACCTACTTGATATGAGAATTTGGATGAAGGGGCCTTGTGATGATGTTACCACCGACGACAAATCCATTTTTCTGACATTTTCTAGAGGTTTTCCTGTGTCAGAAGGCGAGGTTATAAAATTGTTTAAACGTTCATTTGGAGATTGTGTGGAGAACTTGTCCATGGGAAACACTAGTGTCCAAGACCAGACTTTGTTCGCAATAATGGTTTTGAAGACTGTGGGAACAGTTGATCAAGTTTTGAACGGGAAACGTGTTGCAAAGCTTCATATAAATAGAAAACATATTTGGGCTCGCAAGTATGAACGTCGTGATTAAACTTATAATTAATTGGTCAGAAGCCTTAGACTACAACCAAGTAATTATTTTTATTTCTCTCTCTTCCTTAAAACTTGTCTTACTTGTGTCAAAGTTGAATCTTCATGACCAATCTTCATTTTCTTTTATCCTCTTTCTGGTTTATATGAACTTCTTAGTTTATGATATGTTAATGATGGATATGCCATTGAAATATTTATTAGTAAAACAGGTTTATAACTCCTAATGTGGCTTCATTTTTATTTTTATTTTATTTAAGTTGATATTTTATATATGCAAGCTTGACTAAAACTCTAGAAGATGATTCTAAATCTTGTATTTGCAATTTGGTAAAATAAATGAGTTTTAATTTCACAGCTAATATAACTTTTATTTATCTTTGATGATAATTAATAAGTAACATTTTCTCATTAAATTAGCTTTTGATATATATATATATATATATATATATATATATAATATTAATTTAGGAAATAAAACACTTTCATAATCTTAATGGATTAATTAATTACATTTCACATTAAAATTAATACATCTTTAATTTCACTAAAAAAAAAATAACAACACCAGTTCAAGTTGAGCTTAAAAGAACAGATAAATATTAATGACTAAAAAAAAAAACTAACTGTATTTCTAATAATAATTGTTTTCTTTTGCCAACAGGTAAGAGTGTTCAAAATAAAACCCTGTGAACAAATTAGTACAAATTAATATAAAAAACATATTTCATGTTTTACTTAAAATATATATACATATGCTTAAACAAATAATATAATAGTTTTGTATTATACTTTTTAATTCTAAGATATGTAGTTTATTAAATATGATAGAAAATTTAAATTATAAATATAATAATATAAAAAAATTACCCCATTATTCTCTATTTTGATAATATTCTATTTGAATTATTTAATAATATTTTCAAAAGAATGTTTAATTTTTATTATTTTTTAATAATTTTATAATAAGAAACCTACAGAAACTGATTCAAATTAAACCGTAAAAAATTAATTGAAATTTAACCAAATCAAATCATATTAAATCTTTATATTTAATTAAAGTGACTATATATATATATATATATATATATATATATATATATATATATATATATATATATATATATATAACAGCCAACAACATAATTATATACAGCAATTACATTTTTTTCTTATTTAATAAAATTTGATTAAATAATATAAAAGAATATACGATGTTATTAAATTTTTATATAAAATAATATTATACAAATAATTCATTTTTCTAATAATTATAGGTTATCTTCTAGATAGTCAAATAAATAAAAGAATAATTGTAAACATAATAAATTGAGTACATTTCTTTTAAAAACAAATTATATATATATATATATATATATATATATATATATGTAAATTTATTTTCAAGTTATAAAAGGAACTTGAATTACTACTAATTAAGTACATTTCTCCATACAAATCATATTAGTATATAATTTGATAGAGAAGTATTGAAAACTACACTATCAAGGGTTGATTTAAATGCTTCATTACTTTATTTTTTTAGCTTTTCATTTTTTTAATTTTTTTTATCATATAACTCAATTTATTTCGTTTTCAAAGTATAAATTATCTTATTTAATTAACAATGTAACTAAAAGATGATAATATTTTTAAAACAAAAAATCACACACCAACATTTGAAATCATATCTACGCATTTGAATCCATTAAATCTTCAACGTTTATTTTCTTGAATTAAAATACTTTTTGTTCAGGTAATCCATTTCACACAAACCATTTTAAAATTTTAATATTTCTTTACACTTTATTTGTAGCTGTTATTTTAAAAAAATTCTTAATATAATTAATTTTTATATATAATACCAAATAATAATATATTTTAAAGCGAATTCATGCGTACATTTAAATGATATATTTATTTGCTTTGGTTATAAACAACTGTCACTAACATAATAAAACTATAATAAGTCTCTCCAAACAAAATTTTATAAAATGTCTTATATAATTAATATGAAATGTCTTATATAACAAGTTACCGTGCAACTTAATATAAAATCACGTTTTTCGTAATTAATCATGATTAAAAATTATTTTTCACTACTCATTTGCCAATTAAGTTCAAAATAATTATGATTAAAAACACTAGGATTATTTTGTCATTCAAGATTAAAATTAATTAAATTATCTTATTATCAACAATTTTATTTTAGTTACGAACATTAACGTTCACGTAACTAGTTCACTTTCTTATCTAGTAGTGATGATTTTTATCTCAATCATTTAGCACCATCATATGACCTTGGTAATTACCTTACCTTTAATTCTATGTAGTGAGACCATTTAATCAATCTAATTCTCAATATAAAAAAGTATCACATAATGGATAATGATAAAATCTATCTTAATAATAATTTCATTTTTTAATAAAATAGTCGTAATATAATAAGTATAAAGGTCTTAGAATAACTAATAATATAAGAAAACAATAATATTTAAATAGAATTGGTACCTAATGTGCTACATTATTTTCAATTATATTACAAAATTAACATATGTTTTTATTTGATATTTAAATTTGAGACAATTTTTTTATTAACATATGATATATCCAAATAAATTTTAAGGTATTTAATGTATTTTTGCAATTAAAATGATTTTTTTAAAGCAAACAATGATATGAGATTATAGAGGATTAAAACTACAAACAAATATATTAACTAAAAAAATAATAATTAATTTTTTAATAATTGACATACAACGTTTTATTTATAAAATTAAAAATAAAAAATAATTTATAAAGATTAAAAATATATTTAAATCAATTTAAAATTAAATTTTGAATCTACTAACTTGTACAAGTTAAATAGATGAGAGTGAAAATCTATATTTAAATTACAGAAACTTATCTTAAATTTAATTTAAAATGAAAACATTAATTTAAATTATACAATTTTTTTAATTTTAAATTTAAAATATATGTAAAAAACAATTTTTTCTTAAATTTAAGATTACAAACATATTTTTAAAAATATAATAAAAAAAATTAGTAACATTTTCCAACTAAAGAGACACCACCACTTCACTTTCAATTTCTATCCATTTTGTCTTACAAATTCCCCTGCGAGGTAAAGGTAGAGCAAAAAGGGGAAATCGTGTCTGTATGAGACAGAGAGATAGATGGAGAGTAGCGAGGAAGAAGATGACTTTCCTTCCATTGAGAGTATCATCCCCCAATCCAAGGTTGACTCTCTCTATCAGTCCCACACCGAAAAGGTTAGTTCTCTCTTTCTTCATTTAGCAATCAACATATAATGCATACGCTGAAACCTTCTATCTGTTCACTTGCATTTATGTTCTGTGCGTGTAGTGTTTTGATGGAGTGTGGCGAACCCAATTTGTCTATTTTTCAGGGGATTAGGAAGCTTTGCTGCGAGCTTCTAGATTTGAAGGATGCTGTGGAGAACTTGTGCGGCAATATGCACTCCAAGTTCTTGGCTTTCTTGAGGTAACGTATATCATTTCGCAGCTAGCATTTATATATTCTTGTACCACCTATTGTTTGAAGTTACCCAGCAAGGAATTTCAAGACCTTTTTATATATTCTGTTGAAAGATCAAGTATCAGTGACATACATAGGGTATGGATGGGTACACAATTTAATTTAAATGGGGTATACATTTGGCCATTATCAATGAACTTTTTGTGCTAACCAATGTGCTTTGCCTTTCCTTTCTTGAATCAATATATAATGTTCTATGTATATGTGCTTGTTGATTCTGCTGGGAAAACAGAAACTAGTTATTTCCTTGATTGGTAATTTCTTGTTATGAATTTGGATGTTAATATTCAAATTGGAATAGGAAGAATGGGAAACTTGAAAATTAGATCTCAGCTCTAGAAAAAGGGGAAACATGGTTAACATCTTAACTGGGATAAAAATGAGAGTAAAACTTCATAGATGTTGGTGTTCGATTGTGAGTTAGGAGTCTGATGGTGTGTTGAAATGAGCTGGATGAACAACCAATAAATCTATTGCCTTAAGCTTTTGCATTGAGCTTGATGTCAAATTCTTTTATGTGATTGGTTTACTACCCATTTGTTGAATATCTTGTCATATGTTGCTCCATCTCGATCGGTAACAAATTGATATAAGAGCCAATTTCGTCCCAGTGACTCACGAGTATGAGTAGTTCACAGTAGCGTGAGTAATTTGTTGTTAAGTACTCATAACTTTTGCTGGAGGGGGGAGCTTACAACATGGAAGAGACTCACTCTTGAAGGAGATATTGTTAGTGTTCAAGTATGAGTTGAGAATCCACATTCTATAAAAATGGGCAAGATGAGCAATATATAAGGAAAAAGGCCTACAAATCTATTAAGATTTTGAATTGAAAGTGATGTCAAAATTTCTTTTGTGATTGACTCACAACTCATTTGCTATAAATATCTCCCCTCAATCTATAACAATGGATATGCTTTTGTGAAGTTGTACTGAAAGTTGACTCATGAATTTATCATCTCCATCTCCATTCCCATCCCCATACCACACTCCGATACACAAAATTGAACATGAAATGTGAACAAAGCACAAGCACTTTGTGCTGAAATTTAATATAATCAGGGGAATATGGGTAAAAAGTATTGAACACTTAACATTGTGGTTGAAAGACAAAGCTTCTCCAAAGCTTAAACTGTTAGTAGAAAGCCTATAAATTGTTCCTATTTTAATATTACTCACAACACAAGTATGCAACTGTAACAATAAAATAACAGACTTTTGTAACAATTTAAATCAGTTACCTCAACCATATAATATGCATATAAAATGTGATGTTTGCTCTTGATACTGTAGGATATCTGAAGAGGCCGTGGAAGTAAAGCATGAATTGATCGAACTTCAAAAACATATCTCTGCACAAGGTATTCTTGTTCAGGATTTAATGACCGGTGTCTGCTGTGAATTAGAAGAGTGGAATCAGTCAAGCAATGATGTTACTGAAATTCAGCATGGGCCTGAACTGCCTGAAAATCTTGAACCATTACCAAATGATACAAATGACCAGAAAATGTTATTCTTGGAAAACATTGATGTACTTGTGGCTGAGCACAAGTTTGAAGAAGCATTGGAAGCATTAGATGCTGAGGAAAAAAATTATGCTGAGTTGAAAGGCTCAGGGAATAACCCTTCAGATGATGTTTCCTCATACAAGTCTGCTTTGTTGGAACGAAAGGCAATGCTTGAACATCAGTTAGTTGGAATTGCTGAACAACCTTCTATTAGTTTCCCTGAGCTGAAGACAGCCTTAAATGGTTTGATAAAACTTGGAAAAGGTTCTCAAGCACATCACTTAATGCTGAAATTTTATAAGTCTCACCTCCAGAAGAGAATTGAGGCTTTGCTTCCCTCAAGTTCTCTCTGTCCTGAAACATTTCCTTCTACATTATGTAAGATTGTGTTTTCTGTAATATCACTGACAATAAAGGAATCTGCTTTGATTTTTGGAGATAATCCTGTTTACACCAACAGAGTTGTTCAGTGGGCAGAGTGGGAAATTGAATATTTTGTACGAGTGGTGAAAGAGAATGCTCCCATATCTGAGACTGTTTCTGCCTTACGTGCTGCTTGCATCTGCATTCAGGCTAGTCTGAACTACTGCTCAATCTTGGAGTCACAAGGATTGAAAATGTCTAAATTACTGCTGGTACTTCTGCGTCCTTCTGTTGAAGAAGTTTTAGAATCAAATTTTAGACGTGCAAGAAGAGTAGTTCTTGACATGGAAGAATCTGCTGAATGTTGCCCATTGTCACCTAAGTTTGCATCTTCACTCTCTGCAATTGCAACTTCACTCTCTGCAATTGCAACTTCATCTAGTAGCATTCTTGTTGAGAGTGGAATGCGATTTATGCGCATAGTTGAAGTACGTAACTTTATCATATGATACGGCCTACACATTCTTGTTTGATGAAATCATGTTAAATTTGTAGTGTGGATAAGAATTTTTTATGCTCTGGAGATATGGCCTACACATTCTTGTGTGATGAAATCATGGCCTACACATATGATATTTCCTCTTTCTTTTTCCATTTTGTCCTTGCTAGCTCTGTTGTTAAAACATTTATGCTCTGGAGATATGCAGCATGATGCTGACCCTCATATTAGTAAATTAAAATGAAAAATATACAATAGATTTATCTGTATGATAAGAAACTATTTATTAAGTTCCTCATGACAAATATCAGGTTTTAGACCTTTAGTAAATGAGCCTTGATATCCAGGATTTTCAGTGCATAAGGAATTAACAAAAGTATTGACTGTTGATGTGTAACAAGTGCTAATGACAGTGCAATGTATGTGCATAATTTTGCAATGTGTTGATTTTATGTTTTTGTCTGCTTCCATGAGTACTACTACTCCTTTTACATGATTCTCCTTTTTACGGGGGAGGGAAATTATAGAAAACTAATTTTTGGTGGAAGTGTTTCTGGTTTAGTAATGACAGTACACTTAGAATTTGGGTTTGCGTTAAGTCAACACTATAAAACCCTATAACCAGTTTGTGAGGTGAGGGTTGAAAGGTTCTGTATTTAGTGGTGTGGATAGTCTGGTGTCCTCCCGAAATTGAATATTGGTGTTGATGGTCATAACGGTATCGTTCCACCCTTAATTGTGTCTTCAGTTTTTTTTTTCTCTGTTATTATGTATATCCAATAGATTGTCTTCACTTGGTTGCAAATGAAAAACCTTACTTGGAAGTTTCTTTCTCTTTCAATAACATAAATAGTGTACTTTTGGAACAAATTACAGGAGATATTGGAACAGTTAACGCCATTGGCTTGTTTGCATTTCGGAGGAAATGTACTGAATAGAATCTTTCAACTATTTGATAAATACATGGATGCTCTCATCAGAGCACTACCAGGTCCTTCTGATGATGACAATCTTCCAGAATTGAAAGAGGCCGTGCTTTTCAGAGCCGAGACTGACTCTGAACAACTTGCAATATTGGGAATAGCATTTACGATATTGGATGAACTGTTACCAAATGCTGTGTTATCAAGGTGGATGCTGCAAAGTGAAGGCAAGGAACCAAATAGTGGATCATCAGAGAATATAACCTTCAATACAAATGCTAGTGCAGAATTAAAGGAGTGGAGGAAACATCTTCAACATTCTTTTGACAACAAACTTCGGGATCACTTCTGTCGGCAATATATTTTGACTTTCATCTACTCAAGAGAGGGAAAAACACGGTTGAATGCACATATTTACTTGGGTGATAACAGAGAGGATCTTTACTGGGATTCTGATCCACTGCCTTCGCTTCCATTTCAGGTCGTTATTCTTATTTTTTTCTGTTTCTTCTGTTGCCCTTGCTTTTTATCTAAATGTTTCTTTGATCGTTCCTTTGTGTTTCCTTTTGGCATATTTGTCAGGAAAATGGTTTTTGTGTCTTTGTTCAATGTTATTGGTTCTATAAATAATAATTAGAACATTTACAAATAATTACTACTCATAATTACAAATATTCTATTGCATGATATGTGTAGCCTGCAATTGAGGAGAACAAATCAATTCATGATTTGTCAGGCTTATGTATTATTAGAAAAACAAATTAATGTAGTTTAGGGGACAAAATAGTTCCTTATTCACAATTTTAGCTGTTGATTGCATGTTTGGTCAAATATTATTGGAAATTCATTTTCTGAAGGAAGCTGTGCCTATTATTTGCTCACTAATTTCTTGCATTATGCTATTTTACTGTGTGTGTGGCTGTGCATATGTTGGTCTATGTCTACTATATATTTGCTTATATGTATCTATTGAATTCTGGTGTTGTTTCAGTGCTGACAAGTAAAGCTATCTCTGCAGGCATTGTTTGCAAGGCTGCAGCAATTAGCAATTGTGGCCGGAGATGTATTAATTGGGAAAGACAAAATACATAAAATTTTACTTGCTAGGTTAACAGAGACTGTTGTGATGTGGTTGTCCGATGATCAGGAGTTCTGGGGTGTGTTAGAGGATAGCTCAGCTCCTCTACAGCCACTTGGTTTGCAGCAGGTACTTGTTTATATATTATAAATATTTTTATGCCCAAAGTCTAAATACAACGTGTTTTAAATTATTTTTTATTGCTAAAAATGCATTTGTGAAAATTGAACAATCAAGATGAAAGTGAGGCACCTATAATCAGGTCTTAGGCTCCATGGAGCAGTCTTGATGCATCAATTTTTGTAGAAGTAGTTGTTAAATTCACATTTTCTGCAAATTGCATCGTTTTTTTTATCTTGTCTGACAAAAATAGTGATGGTTATGAGGGAAGTCTTAGATTGCATCTCAATAATTTGCATCAACCACAGGTGAACATATAAATATAAAGCCTTTTCACCCTTTGATGTTATGCCTATAGCATCAGGATGTAACAAAGCCTACGCTTTATGAGAAATTACTTAATATCATGGTACTATATCCCAGTAGATAAATTGTTATAAGTATTTTCTTTTTCTTTTTTTTAGTTTGGTAAAACTTTTGTGGATAAGGTTTCTTTCTCTGCACTGCTCTCATCCATAACTGTCTTTTTGTGACAGTTAATTCTTGATATGCACTTTACTGTTGAAATTGCACGCTATGCGGGGTATCCATCTCGCCACATTCACCAGATAGCATCAGCTATCACTGCTCGTGCCATCCGGACCTTCTCTGCTAGGGGCATAGACCCTCAAAGGTACACTTCATTTTTACCTTTACTTACCATTCCTTGTGCTCGGCATTCTGTTCTTGGCTTTTGACACCAATGACTTTTCATGCTCAATATTAGTGCACTTCCCGAGGATGAATGGTTTGTGGAAACTGCAAAGTCAGCAATACACAAGTTTCTGCTTGGGGCATCAGGGTCCGAGGCATCAGACACTGATGAAGATCATATCATTGTTCCTGATGAAGATGTCTCAGACTCTGATACTGTTTCATCCCTATCTTCGATGGACTCAACCGAGTCTTTTGCTTCTGCTAGCATGGCCGAACTTGACAGCCCCTCTAATTTGTTTGATTCAGATAATTGATATTTACTAGACTATTATTTAAAATATAGAATAGTTTGAGGTTTTGAGAAAAAATGTACGTGCCCCTTAATTACCATATTTGCAATGTGATGGCGTATGAAGTCATTAGTATCAAATGTGTTGTAGGACATGTTCATAAACCTTGCTTAGGGGTCACTAGCTTGCTGCAATCGGAAAGTCATTGACTAGTGAGCCATTAGTTAGGCCTGGATCAAGGCCTACTTGATTCTTGACTGGGGCATCATAGACATGGCATTGTACGCTCACTATATAATTAGGGTGTTGCATGCTTGATTTTGACTAGTTAATGACTATGTTTGCTTGGTCACAATTTGGGGTGTTGTAGACTCTATTTTGGTTAGGGTTGCTGGCTTGACCTTAGAAAAAACATTGTAGCTCAATGTCATCTACTTGGCCACAATTGGGGCATCTTTGGCTCAATTAATGCATCTTTAGCTCAATTATGATAATAAAATTAGAGTTTAAACTAAATATTAAATAAAATTAAATTTGATAAAGAAAATTAATGTCAAACCTTGTAACCTAGTTCAATATATAATTTTTAAGACATCTATAATTTTTGGAATGTATTTAATATATCTTGAAAATTAATTTCAAGAAAATATAACCTTTTTAATTTCTATAGGTACAAAAATTTGATGCCTTACAAAAATTGTCAACGGTGATAAAACTTACAATACTTTGTGCTCGAAGTCTTCGATATTGTTTCATTCATTAATTATTACAGTTGTACACGTCATTCTCTAGTGTTTCCCTTATTACGAAGAATCCCCTTAGTTTGTTCATAACATATGAACCTTTCGCAGCTCGCCTTTATTCTGAAGGATTCCCTTAGTTTTTCCGTAACTTACGATTGATCTTTATACCAAGTTTCATTCTTTTAAAGTTATCCTTCATAATTTTGAGTTGTGATACCAAATGGCTTTTCTTTTTTATGTTTTTTTTTTCCCTAAATTCTTGCTATGTTTTGAATTTCTTTCACTCGATCAAGTTCTTAATTATCTCTTTTATCATTGTGTTCCCTAATTATAAAAGCTTAGGCAAATCGTTGATTCTACGATCTTGACTTGTATTATGACTTTGATTTTGTATGTCAAGCGGAATGAAGTTTTTAGTAATAATCTAATAGTACTTTTAGAAGTTCCTGGGCCATAACTTTTCAGCTATACTCCTAAAATTTTCTTTAATTCCCAAAGTGCTTTTGTCAGTGGCTTTGGGGATATTTAAAAAAGGTGTCTCGATGTTTAATTTGGTGACTTTAAAGGAATTAATTTAGCTTCTTCTTTGTGAATTGCCTTTTGTTATAGTGATGATCTTCATGTGAACATTTGTACATTTTGGATAGTGATGGTCTCTAACGACTTAGCTTCAAACGCTTAAGAAGTGGTCCATTACTATCAATAATAACATGCAGTGACTTCTGGCCACCAACAAAGTGTCCACAATGTCCATTCCCAAGTCAAGAAAGGTCAAAGAGTGATGATAAATTGTAGGCTTATTTACACAATAGAGTAAACAAAAATGGGTTAAATCTTGAAGCACAATTTCATCATGAAGAAATGATATTTCTAAGAGTTTGATGGACAAATGTAAAATTGTGCTACATGATTTTAGTTGGAGATTATTTTTGTGTTCAATTTATGTTAGGTAGCACCATTTTCATTTTTTTTAATTGAACTTGTCTTACCTAACACGAGTTTAGTGTTTTTTTTTTAAATAATAGAATTATTTTAAAAATATTTTATTTATAAAATAATTAATTTCAATTTAATTATGATTTTGAAACAGAAAATAAAAATATTAAGAGAAGTAAAGATATAGATAAATTTAATTGTGTATTTTTATATTAAAATATTAAATATATATATATATATATATATATAATTTTGTTACAGAAAACAAGGTAGAAAAAAAATTAAATGGTAAGACTCTATTTCATAAGATGGTATTCTAATTTGTCACATGGGTCTCAATAGTTGATTAAGAGCCCCTTTGTTGTATTTGTGTAGTACGGTCTATGACTATGTGATGGTTGAGGTTGAATGTTTCTTTGCCTATCATCATCATCATCAATATCTTCATCCTCTATACTACATAAGGGACATACTGAGCATAGTAGACACGAAAAAAGTTTGATTGTATGATGACGATAGTGTCATGGAAGAGGTGGAAAACATTTATTTTAGATGGAAATGAAGTAAAAGTAGGAGGAACTTGACTTCCAAATTAAACTTAACTATATATCCAAAAAATGGATAAGGTTGTTGATCACTCGACTAACCAACGTGTTGATGATTCGCTGACCAACATGAAAATGACTAAGTTGACCAATACGTTGGGGTTGTTCCTGCGATTTTGTATTGTACTCGTTAAAAAAAATATATTAATTTCATATCAATGTTATATATATAAAATAAAATCAATTATATACTTACTTCGTCATCCGAATCTTCTTTTTGAGTAGAAAAAAAAATATATATATATATATATATATATATATATTTATTTTCATTGCCGAATGAACCAAATAATGGTTGGCAAAAGACAATTAAATCTTCATTGTCGAGATATGTAATCGATAGTCCATCAATGGACATACTTAATTGTAAGGCCTCATCTTCTAATATAAGTGTGACTTCTCCAATAGAAAAATGAAAGGTGCATGTTTCAGTTTTTCACTTTTCAATTAATGGTGTGATCAAATGATGATTGACATCAATAATTCCAATTGTTATCAATGGTCCAAATCCTACTTGATGAATAAAATTTTTAACCCGATTGTCCACCATGTATGCATGTTTTGTTATCCATATGTTATGTCGCCTATGATACAATAATATTTCATTCCCTTCCTATAATGCTTTTGTGACATGTTTGTCCTAAAGACATAATAAGGACATATTTGCACAAAAGATGATGACTATGAGAAGTTATTTCTGTAAATTACATATGTTAATACACAAATTAAAAAAAAAGGCAATATATGTAAAATTAGTAACAATATATGAAATAAATACACTATATATGAATAGTATACTAAAAAAATTATACTGCAACAATAATAATTTATATATTATAAAAAATAGTAGTATATTTATTTAAAATGTAGTACATGAACTTGAACGTATTGCTAGACATAAAGAATAGCAGTATATGAAATACTAGTGTTGTTGGACAGTGTTACCAACAATATATTAACAATATTGTTGGACAGTATGTGAATAACATATGAACAATAATATACTAAAATAATAATTTATATATTATAAAAAAATATTGAAAACATAATATTTCACTAAATGTTGGATAGTGTTGTTGCAACAAATAAAGAACAAAAACTATATAATTGTATAAAAATATCTTAAGAAAGAAGAGAGAGATGAAAATAAACGCAGCATCGTGTTGTATTTATAGGCACCTATGTGATGAAAATTCAAAGGCACACTCAATGTAAAATTAAATGCAGTTGAAACACACTCCTCCTCCTCTGTAAATATTCTTGAAGAGCCTGCAACATCAATAACACCCTTCACACTTCATGTGGAGAGTTATAGGCTGGGACAACACGTTGATCTAATTACATTGAACACATGCTTGGAAGTATAATTTTAGTGCAAGCTAAACTCGTGCTTGGAAACACGATTTTGGCTTTGTCTCAACTTGAACTCGTGCTTGGAAGCATGATTTTGGGTCTACATGCGTCTCCCACTGAACTTGTGCTTGAAAGCATGATTTTGGCTTTGTCTCAACTTAAACTCATGCTTGGAAACATGATTTTAGGTCTGCATGGGGAGATCATGCTTGGAAGCACGACTTTTATTTAAACCATTGCTTAATGTGTTTGGAAGCATATTTTGGTTTGTATAGAACTTGTCCTTGGAAGCACGAGTTCAATGCTTTTGGCCCTCAAGCAGTGGCGGGTGCTTGACCATTGATCTTGGGGGCTAAATAATATATTATTAATAAATAATAAATAAATATAAAATAATATATTATTAATAAATAATAAATACATATAAAATAATATATTATTAATAAATAATAAATAAATATAAAAGGAAGAAAGAAGATGAAAGGGTAAAAGGATAAAATTGTAGATATATATTTAAATATATTAAATGATTATTAAGTTTGAGGGGGACAAAGTCATAAATTACATGGGAGTTACAAAATTGAGGAGGGGTGAGAGGATAGAATTGTAAATATACAAGTAAATATATTAAATGTTTATTAAGTTTGGGGGGCCAAAATCATAAATTACATGGGAGTTATAAAACTTTGGGGGGACCACGGCTCCCCTCGACTTCTAAGAAGATCCGCCACCGCCCTCAAGCTAAACTCGTGTATCGTTGTACAATTTTGGTTTAACATTACGTTTCCCACAAGTTTATTGTGTCTTATGGCCACTGAAATCCTTAATAGTAGCCTACAAATTTAGATGAGGCACACATGCAAATGATAAATAGTATGCAAATGACAAAGTCAATAGTATGCAACCATAACAATTTTCATTGAAATCGGAGGACTATATAATGACATTTACAGTTTCAATCCAATCATAACAATTTCCACTGTAAGCATAGTCCTTTATTGAAGTTAAATTTTTGAAGTCATATTTATTTGGTTTAATTGAAATTTTATTTAAATTTAGTTGGTTTATTTTAATATCTGAGCATATTTTTTAATCAATTTGTTTTTAAATTAGATGAACATATTTCAACTTGGTAGCTCAGAACTTGTTATTCAAGATATTGTAAAAGACTTTATTGATGAATAAGATAATTTTTCCCCTATTGCAATGTATCTGAATAATGATGTCCTGCTACATGCTGGACAATCGTCTAATCAATTAAACCCATATATGCAAAAATAACATATGAGAAGATCAGTGTTTTTCGTCAAAACAAGCAATAGTATGTGCAATAAAACAATTTCATATTGAAGAGATATACATATTTTCTGTTGTTGAGTCTAAAGAT